ATAGGCTCAGGACAAATACGGTATGGTAGGATTGTTGCGCATATCTTGGCGGCATCTTCAAGACTCAATGGGTCCCTACGAAATCGTCATTCAGGTTGCGACAGGAATCGCTAGGCAGTCTTTAGAACATCCACAAATCCTGGGTGAGCCCAAAGGATCCCGAGTGAAAACCTTGAAAGTCATGGAATCCTGACATTCTGGCTGCAACGGGTCATTTGGATTCCCTCGCAAGTCCGTAGGATGCTTGTGTTTTCTGGAAACAGTAATGAACCCGATGGAAGTTGTCAGGATATCAATCAGATATAACGAACACGTGTACAAAAGCACAGGTTCATACATGTATATATTCCCCAACAGTGCTTGCACTTAGGGTGGAATTGGGCCGGTGTGCCGCTCTGGTGGTTATGTTGCCACCGTCGCCGCCTCGTCGCCGCCCGTGGTCTGGGCCTGTGTGCCGCTCTGGTGGCTATGTTGCAGCCGTCGCCGCCCGTCGTCTTAGCCGGTGTGCCGCTCTGGCGGCTATGTTGCAGCCGTCGCCGCCCCGTCGCAGCCTCGTCGCCGCCTGTACCTGGGCATGTCTGTCGGTCTGGCACCTATGTTGCAGCCGTCGCCGCCCCATCGCCGCCTCGTCGCCTCGGATACCTGGGCTAGTCTGTCGGTTTGGCATGTATGTTGCAGCCGTCGCCGCCCCATCGCCGCTTCGTCGCCGCCCGTACCTGGGCTTGTCTTTCGGTTTGGCATATATGTTCAGCCGTCGCCGCCCCATCGCCGCCTCGTCGCCGCCCGTACCTGGGTCTGTCTGTCGGTCGGGCGGCTATGTTGCCGCCGTCACCGCCACGTCGCCGATCGCACAGTGTATATATATATATATATATATATATATATATTGCACCGCATATGTTGCGCCACATAGATTGCACCACTTTGTTATTGTCTTGCCACGAACGCAGGCTCAGTGCGCCCACGCTGACGGTTCCAGCCACGATGGCCAGGGCAGCATGTTTGTGGATGTTTTCGTTATTGGCGTTGTTGGCGGCCATGCTGTCGCGCGCGCGACGAGTAGCACCCAGATTTTGATCAAGACGATAGCACACGAGCGCTGCGACAGGTCTAGGTTATTTGGGGATGCTGCCGCCATGCGCTCCTTCGGGCGCTCCTCCAGCTCCAGGAGCGCAGCCTCGACGCCCTCCGATTGGCCTGCCCTCCGATTGGCCTTCCTCCAGGAGCTCCTCAATCATCAGTAGCCTCTCCCGCTTGTAGTCACCACATAGATTGCACCACATTGTTGCACCACGAAGATCGCACCGCATGTATCGCACCACATAGATCGCACAACCACATTGATTCTTTTTTTTTTAAAAAAAAAAAATATATATATATATATAAAAAAAAACTCTTGTCCCCCCCCCCCCCCAGCTATATCGGTCCAATTTTTCGTAGTGCCACCTACATCTGACCCTGACCCATCGTCCATCCTTAAAAAGTAGCCCATACCATCCCAGCCCAGTCGGTATTGGCCCCCCCCCGCCATCGTCTGCAACAAAACTATGCGCGCACACTTGTTTATCAAAAATCAAGAGTTGCCATAAATCCTTCACAACAGCTGAGACGAAGTGCACACTCGCGCGTCGTTGCGCGCGCATGCCAGAATCCTTCAAAACCTTCGAGGTCCCGGAACGATTTCAAAATCGAGTGACCGAAAATCATACAAGACGTATTGTTCCGCAACACGGATGTTCAAAAAAAGCGTGCGCGCGCTTTCTTTCGAACCCTTAAGAAAACCATCGGTTTTCCAGCATGTTAAAAAAATACTACCAAGCTGGTTTCGCGCGCGCATGTCGAAGTCGTTCGAACGCCTGTGCGCGCGTGCCGTCGCGAGAACCCTTGACAAAGATGGGACGAGGTGCACGCGCGCGCGCGTCGTCGCGCGCGCATGCCGAAATCCTTCAAAATCGGTTTTGATGTCGTAGCGATTTCAAAACCGAATGTCCAAAACCAGTCTAAAACACAAGGTTTCGCAACATCAGTTTCCAGAAAAAACTTGCGCGCGCCCTCTGTCGAATGCTCGATAAAATCATAGCTTTCTCAACATGTTCATGAAATTCTGCCAAGAGGGCCTCTGGCGCCGCATGCCGACATCACGCGCACGCCATTGCGCGCGTGCTTGGTGGGCGCGATCCGTGTCAAACAAGAACCATGCGGGCCACTTTCGCGCGTCGGCCGCGCGCGCATGTCGTACTCCGTCAAAAGACTTCTTCACCGTCGCGAGGACGCCGTCATCGCCGTCGGCGTGATCAGTATCGGCGCCCGCACTGGCCGCGCCTTCGTCGGTGCGAACAGCGCCACCAGTATCGCCACTATCATCATCGTGTCTACCTTTGTCGACGTTGCCTGATACACCGCGCCCGCCCAAGTCGCCGACTGGCAGTGAAGTGCCCGCTGGGATGCGCCCAGCGGTCAGCGCCACCACGGCCGCGTCGGCGGAGCCAAACTAGCTGGC